GAGAGAGACAGAGAGACAGAGAGACAGAGAGACAGAGAGACAGAGACAGAGACAGAGACAGAGAGAGAATTAGTAACTATACAATGCACCAAAGATTCACAATTCCATTAGATCCTATGAAGAAGAGTCTCAGAAGGCCGCAGAATTTGAGTCTCAGAAAGGATTGTGGGTCCTCAGTACTGCCTACCTGGAGAGTGAAAATGTTGGCTTTCACACCAAAGAGGACTGATCACGTGTGCCTCCAGTATAAGATGAGTGTGTGTGAGTCTCTGCTCAAAAAGCATTAATAGTTTCCAAATTGTGATAGCATAAGACCAGGCTAGAAAGCTACCTGAGCATGGGACCCTGTGCAGCGACTTCACAGATCAGCACCACAGGCCAACCCTGTGCTCAAGGCTCACTCCAGCACAAACTGTTGGACACCCATGCTTGAATTCAGCACCGACTGGCCACAGGTGAGGCTTTGTCGTCCAGCGCCCAACCTCTGAATTTCTTACAAATCCCTCCATCAGGCCAACTGCCGTGTACATCCTACTCTCTCCTCACACCGTTCACCTGGGGAACTTTGCAGCCTTCAGATCCTTCCTAGTGAGACTCAGACTCAAAGACATGGATCACAGATTCTTAGGGGCAGGAGTGGTTCTCATTATCTCTAGAAAAGTGTTAACATTAGAAAATTTCTAAGAAAACTGACACAACCCTGGAGTCTCAGAAAACTAAATAAATAAATGATGCAGAAGAGGGCAAAAAAGAAACATATATGGTGTAGTTTCTTCTTCCTCTATGGACTCCAAGAGGGAAAGATGAGGAGAATCCATTTGCTCATCCATATAGAATATGCATTAGTTAAATGATAATTATCAAACTGTAGCTTCATCTATATTAATGAAATCAAAGTCTGGATGGCCATTTTTGGGAATGATTCAAGATGAACTTATGTCTCAGTGAAGGGTAATCAGGATGAGGAGCTGGGAAAAATCACCCTTGTACTATTTTTCTTTCCGTGGTCATGAAAAGGAAGGAATGGAAATCAGTAGAAAATGCTGCATGTATTACAGATCTGTTTAATAATAAATGACAAGTGGATATGAGTGATGAGGCCTTTAAGAGCCTGTGGTGACACCAGCAGTGTAACTTCGGACCTGGCCTGAGCCACATGCTGCAGATGAGGTTGGGGACAGTGCCTCGCCACTGTGCCAGCACTGGTCATCCTTGGTTGTCTGCCCTGGCTTTCTGCTGCACCTCAGAAGTCTAGATTTTCACTCTTTCAAACCTGGTTAGGTTCTTTTCTGTTGCAGGCCCAGTGGACTACAGAATGTGAAGGGATGCTGAGAACTAGAGAAAAGAGCAGTGAACCCACCAGTGCCGACCATTCAAGACTCTGAACTTGGGTGCTTGGTTTTGAATGGACTGAATCTTACATGGGAATGCTTTGGAGTTGGGAATCCCTGGGCTCCATCTCAGCTCAGTCTCTCTCCCCAGCTCTTTAACAGGCTTTTGGGAAGGTGTTTAGCTTCTCTGAACTATGACCTCACTGAAAAATGGGCATAGCATAGAAGCCCTGCAGGGCCTCAATAATGGGTCTGGAAAGTGGCACCTAGCACGGAGCTTGCTGCACAGAAGGTGACCTATGCTAGCTCTTTCCAGTTTCCAACGAAGTCCATCCAAGGCATGGCATTGGTGTGCTGTGCAGTCACAGGGGCTGCTCATCTTCAGCTCTGCCTTTAACTACGTGACTGAAGGCGAGCTTCTTGGTGGCTCTAGGCCCCACTTCCTTCATCTGTACAATGGGAAAAAGAACTTTCATTCATTCATTAGTGCCATATTTACTGAATGCTTTCTATAACCATGCACCATCAAGGAGGGCACCCAGTGGAATGCATTCTGCAAAGTACTTGACACACTGTGTGTTTAAGGGAGGTCCAAACAATATTATGCATTTTTTTAAAGTTCAAGGACATTTGAATTGTTTTCCTCTCAAAAAGTTTGATGATGAAATATCCAGTACCAAGGACTCTCAGGTTCACAGCACTGGGAAGAACTTGATCTTGCCATTAAAATCCCAGAATGTCTAGACTGGCAAACAAACAAACAAATTGAAAGGAAGAAAGTCTGAAAATTTCTTGGTCCACAACTTCTCAAAATAATGTTTTTCAGAAGGAGTCAGATTGGATCAACTTTGACTACTTTTAATATGGTACATTTCCAGGAAGAGACATTTATGTATTTTTTTTTCTTTTTTGAAAAATCACTAATCTCATCTAGTCCCTCCTTTTAGGAGACTAGAAACCTGCAGCTTGGGGAGGGAAGGGAAGGACCTCTCTCAGCCTCTCCAATGGTTGTGGTGCAGCAAGGGTTGTCAAATGGAGAGTCATGTGACCGTCTGCCTTATGGAGCCTTTCAACCAATAATTATGTGGGGGACGCCTTCTATTTGAGGAAGCCCTGGGAGTTAAAACATCTGTTCTTCACCGCAGACCTCTAGAAGCTTCAAACTGAGTTGGAGAGGGTCCTGAGCAACTGACTTAGATTCCACGGAGAGAGCTCTCTTCTGAGTGAGCCACATGACCATCTGAAACAAGTGTTTTCAACAAGGAGCTCAGGACTCCTGAAATTCTACCTATACCTGTGGTCTGTGGTCTCTAATGTGGTCCCAGTGGGTCACCTCCCAATTACCTCTGCCTCTCAAGTGCAGCTACATTTAGAGACCTGATTCTGGCAGAAGGGCAGGAAGGATGGTGGGTCACTTCCAACCTTAAGTTAAAAAAGGACAGTGGCTTCTGTCTTGGGGTGCTTTCTCTCACCCTGAAAGAAGCCACCAGGCATGTAAGTAAGCTGCCCTATAGAGAAGGATAGAAATGGCTTGATTTCTCCAGCCACCCGCCAGGCAGGACCTGAGGCCTGTCAACATTGTGAGCGAACTTGGAGGAGGAATTTCCTCAGGAAGGCCTTGAGAGGACTGAAGCCCTGGACAGTCTGTAAACTGGAGCCAAAGACACATCAGTTACTCTCTGATTCTCTCTATTTTATTTTATTTTATTTTGAGACAAGGTCTCACTATTCCTGGCTGACCTGGAACTCGATGTGTAGACCAGACTAATCTCTAACTTACAGAGATCACCTATCTTGGCATCCTGAGTGCTAGAATTATTCCTTGATTTTTTTTAAGTTTATCATGTTGAGGTTTTCAGATTTATTTATTTGCTATTTTTCTGTGTGTGAGTATTTCCCTTGCTCGTATGTTTGTGCACCATGTGTGTGCTGGTGCCTGCTGGGTCAGAAGTTAACCGAGCTGTGAGCCACCAGGTAGGTGCTAGGAATCAGACCTGGGTCCTCTGCAAGAGCGTCGGGTGGCCCTAACTGCTGAGCCAAGTCTCCAGTCTCCACCCCTAGACTCTTGGTCACCAGGAATGGTGGCCGATGATTGCTGTTTCAGACCACTGCTTTGTCCCACAGCACAGCTGCTGAACTCGGCGTCCTTTTCCTCTAACTCGCGGTTTCCTGTCCTCCTCATCCAACCATCCATCGAGTCAAAACTTCTCCCCTTATCTACTGGTCACCAACTCCCGAGGGACCTTTTCAGATCTGGCCATCTCACTTCTGGCACCCACCTCAGCTCTCCCTTCTCCCTGATTCCAAACTCACCCCTTTGAATCATTAAGAGGTGGCAGGGTAACTTCTAGAATGCAAAAAGAATCTCTGCGCATAGAAGTCCAAGTCCTGTGGCGTGTCCCTTAACTGCCAGGACTGGCCGACTGTCACACGGCACTCCCAGCCCCCTCAGCCGCTCACCTGGATTCCAACCACAGCTCTGGTTTGTTTTAGTTTGCTGTCTCCTCCATCCCACTCTTCCCTTCTTCCTGGACGGCATTATTTCTTTGTGGAGTTTGACTGAACACCTATTCTAGGCACTAGGAACAAAGCAGCTCAAAACAACACTTCTGTCTCCAGGGCTCACATTTCAGAGAAGAGAGGGCCATGAGCAAGCTGACCTTACAGCAAGGTGAGAACTCAGGAGCATGGAAAGCTGGGCAGAGGGGAGGCTGGGAGGACCAGGGAAGGGCTTTCCCTCTCTCTCTTTTTTTCCTTTCTTTCCTTTTTTTTGTTT